CTCTCTCTCTGTGCTCGCAATGTCGTATGCGAATGCGCAGTAATGAGTATAACGTTATGTAGTCACACGCGCGAGCCCTCCTCGTCAATTAGGCACACTATAGAGAGCGACCGAATGCAAGTAACAGCGCTCTTGCACTAGTATCACGCTCTTGCACTACTAGTAGTATCACTCTGCGAGTTTTGCACCCCCAAATAGCAATCAAGATCCTTGCGCCTTGAGTTACAATGACTCCTGATGGGCAGAAAAGTGCAAGGACTGCACTAATCAGCAAGTTTTCCAAATGCCTCAAGATGCTCCGGGCGCAGTTTTACTTCTAAATCTAGCTTTACAAATCGATTCACCTCAAAAATTATTGAAAGCTGAACACACACGCGCCCTTGGAGGCGAGCAATTTGCAAGCAATCCACTCAGCAGGTGGACGGAACACCAGCCATGTACGGGATCGATAGATCGATCGATTAAGCAGCCACTCAATCAATCAGCGTGATCATCAATGAGCAAAAGAGATGGCGAAAGCAACGAAGCATCATGCCATGGCACTTGATGAGGAAGAGGGGGAGGGCCAAGATGGGACGCGCTGCCAATGCGAGAGAGAGCCCCCTCTACTTCTCCCCTTCCGCTTCAATCTAGCGCAAGAACACGGTGCTGGCGCACTGGTGGTGAAGGAAAGGCCGAGTTTCGGGCGAGCAAGGGAGCGGGTACGCGGGTGGGAGGCGGAGATACAGCCGGTGGAATGCGGCTGGCTGTCGATGGCGAGTCCGATGAAACGACTCCCCTTCACCTCTACCTTAACTAGATGTTGGATATACGAGTTCTTCACTACTGAGTAAGTAGAATACTGAAGGGGAGGGAGCAACTCCGAGCAAGGGACGTGTGTGCTCCAACGACTCCTGCCACTTGTTCTTGCGTGGGTTGTTGCTTCTCTCTATTCTCTAATGGCACCCTCTGCTTGGCTGGGCTCGATGTGGGTTGGCTTGGCCTGGCTTGCTTGGCTTGCTTGGCCTGGCTTGGGTTGGCTTGGGTTGGTTTGGCTTGGCGTGGCTTGGGCTCAGCTTGGCTTGGCTTGCCAGTGCACGGGGGGGGGGGGGGGGGGAGGGAGGGAGTCGGCGGACAGAGAACTGGATGGTAGCCTGCATTACTCTGCAACCAGCCCGCACGCTTGCGGAAACGCGTTTGGCGCTTTCGCGGAGGTCCCGTCACGGGTCAGAGAG